GAATATAGGGTGTATACATATTTTTTTCCTTAACAGCAACTTTGAACCCCAACAATTTCCGAATGGGCCTAACTCCCAAAAATTCATTTCAGTGTGGCCTTCCCCAAGTTATTACCTTTCATTTGAGCCATGTCCGGTGGCGAACTTTACCGTACAGCGCTGGTGAGGCTTACCGAAAGAATATAGGGTGTATACATATTTTTTTCCTTAACAGCAACTTTGAACCCCAACAATTTCCGAATGGGCCTAACTCCCAAAAATTCATTTCAGTGTGGCCTTCCCCAAGTTATTACCTTTCATTTGAGCCATGTCCGGTGGCGAACTTTACCGTACAGCGCTGGTGAGGCTTACCGAAAGAATATAGGGTGTATACATATTTTTTTCCTTAACAGCAACTTTGAACCCCAACAATTTCCGAATGGGCCTAACTCCCAAAAATTCATTTCAGTGTGGCCTTCCCCAAGTTATTACCTTTCATTTGAGCCATGTCCGGTGGCGAACTTTACCGTACAGCGCTGGTGAGGCTTACCGAAAGAATATAGGGTGTATACATATTTTTTTCCTTAACAGCAACTTTGAACCCCAACAATTTCCGAATGGGCCTAACTCCCAAAAATTCATTTCAGTGTGGCCTTCCCCAAGTTATTACCTTTCATTTGAGCCATGTCCGGTGGCGAACTTTACCGTACAGCGCTGGTGAGGCTTACCGAAAGAATATAGGGTGTATACATATTTTTTTCCTTAACAGCAACTTTGAACCCCAACAATTTCCGAATGGGCCTAACTCCCAAAAATTCATTTCAGTGTGGCCTTCCCCAAGTTATTACCTTTCATTTGAGCCATGTCCGGTGGCGAACTTTACCGTACAGCGCTGGTGAGGCTTACCGAAAGAATATAGGGTGTATACATATTTTTTTCCTTAACAGCAACTTTGAACCCCAACAATTTCCGAATGGGCCTTACTCCCAAAAATTCATTTCAGTGTGGCCTTCCCCAAGTTATTACCTTTCATTTGAGCCATGTCCGGTGGCGAACTTTACCGTACAGCGCTGGTGAGGCTTACCGAAAGAATATAGGGTGTATACATATTTTTTTCCTTAACAGCAACTTTGAACCCCAACAATTTCCGAATGGGCCTAACTCCCAAAAAATCATTTCAATGGGTCCTTCCCCAGGCTTACCAGAAATAGAGTGTAGAATGTTTTTTTTTTTAAACAACAAATTTAACACCCCATAGAATTGCCGGATGGGCATAAAACACAATAAAAAAGAGGAATTGCATTGGCCTTGTCTAAGCTTTTAACTTTACTCTAAGCCATGTCCAGTACAGATTTTTTTCTGCATGAAAATGCTGTGGCTGACTAAAGAGTGTAAGGTCACTTTGATAAATCCCTATGAATTAAAGAAACGTTTTTTTACATATCTTTTTTTTTGTTCTGATAATCTGTTTCCATCCTGAAACTATATTTGGTTCAAGTTTACATTTATGAATAACGTATCTACATAAAACCATGATATTTGTTTTTTGCTGACATTTTGAACTTAATTAGGCCATTAGTTTTCTCGTTTGAATTATTTTACTTATGTCATTTATGGGGCTTTTTCTGGCCGAGTATGTGGTATTGTCTTAGCTCATTGTTGAAGGCCGTACGGTGAACTATAATTGTTAATTTTTGTGTCGTTTGGTCTCTTGTGGAGAGTTGTCTCATAGGCAATCATACCACATCGTCTTTTTTTTTATTATTAAATATAATCATTACTTAATTTATTTCTATTCAACAACATATGTCACATGACAATCAGGGTTCTCCTACCATGCCAAAGGAGCACTATCTTTTAGACCAAATTATACATGTAGACGGTTTTGAAATTGTTACAATCAATGAACCCAATTCTAATTTCCTATACCAAATTCAAGTTATTTTTGCAGGTTGAAGTTTTGAAGATATATCCAAAATATTTCCAACATATTTTTTTAAAATTTTTATCACTATGTATTACCTATGGTCATCGTGTATCTTCCAGGAACGTTCATCGTATAAAGTCTATCTTATCCAAGAAATGTGTAATGTTAGGGAAAATGAAAAAAGGGCTTATAGTCAGGGTACGAAGGTTCGATTCCTTCCCTAGGCTTAAACCATAATCAGCTGGTTGCAAAGAGGACAGATTGCCTAGTGGCCTCGCCCTGATCAAGTCTTTTTTTCTGTTTATGTAATGTACCATGAGAAAATACAGTTTTGTCCAACTACTACAATAAAGCTATATAAGTTTACTCCTGGCTAAGAAATAAAAACGTCAGAAAATGTTCAAATATTACCTAATTTCGTAAATGTCGTAAAATAGATATCCGAAATATCTCAATATTTTTTCTATCTTTTTGTCATCAATGACAGTGATATATTGACACACTAATTCTACTTTATCAGCCAGTTTGCTTCAATGTTGTGAACATCAGCTTTTTATTTCAAGTTAAAAATCATCGCGGATGAATCATTCACTTGCAAGTGATTATTTCGACCTCGTTGATCCGTATTCATGTTATCTTCAAATTAAACATTGGCCAGAGATGGGTTACGCATGAATTAGATGTGTTCAGTTGTTAAAATTAAAAGAACGTAAAGATTGAAAGTGAAATGAGAGTAGATTATTTGATTGAATGTATCGATCCACAAGAACTGATACTTATACCGGTAAAAAGGAGGAAAACAAATATTTTTCAAACCTGAAATATGAAATCAAACAGACCTACAAAAATACAAGTAAATACATTTGCAGGTTTTCGTTATCTTTATCTATATTTATTTTTTATACGGGTAATATAACAAGTTTAATAAGTCAATACCGACGTTGATACACTACATTTATAAAATTCAAACAGTAATATCCGAGGTTCTTGTATCAATACTGACTGTAATACTTTACATATCTATCAATTATTTTTTCTCTTCATCCAGTAACAAAAATAGTTTATACATGTTCAACACGAATAAGTAGAAACGATTTCATGAATTAGGGTCCGAAAGACCTAAAGGGAGATACATTTAATTGAAAAGTAACATATGGACCACCAATTAAATCCCCTCTATGATTTTAAATTTCAACATCCGGGCCAGCCAAATGAAGTGTTTTTTGGCAAGTACAATTTAACAAGTCATCACATAGAATAATGAAAAATACGAATTTTTTTCTGGGAAAGAATCTGAAACATTTTAACAGTCTTTCATTTATGACGATTATACTGTTGTGATCCAAAACTTTTTTTTTCAATTCTTGTATTGCTGACTTACAGAAGAAGGAAGTTGCATGGTAGAACATAAGTTAACCTGTGCAAGAAATGACCAAAATCCGACTTAGGATCTCAGAATACTTAACACATTCGATCTTTAAGATTCAAAAATGCAACAATGTCGTTCTCTTAATATTTTGCAATGTGTGCAACCTAAAAACTATTATGTCAAACATATTATGTCAAACACAGGAACATGTCATATAATGTTTTCTCCATGAACATGGGAAATAACATATAAATCATCTATTGAATATACATTTTGTACATCACTGCGGTATTTTTTTCTTATTTTTACTAATTTTACTACTGCATTGCAATTCTTTCTATCTATGACTGTTGAATTTAGTTCTGCATTGATATCTAGGAAGGATCTCATATATGCATTCAGTGGTTGATTGGTCTCTTATTCTTATTCCCATGGCTGAAGTTTCGCCCCCTTTATTTTTTTTTTAAAGATATCCGCCTCTTAAATATTTCAAATTGAAAAACGTAAAAGGTCTCCGTGTTGAAGACCGTACTGTGACCTATAATGGTTTACTTTTATAAATTTTGACTTGGATGGAGAGTTGTCTCATTGGCACTCATACCACATCTTCTTATATCTATGAACAATATATTTGTTTTAATCTTATAACAAAAATCAATAAATCATTTGTACCACATCTCAAGAAACCTTTTTCAAACAAAACAGGATTGTTACAACCTCCCGTCATTTTGGAAAACATCCTAAAAGTTTCTTCTTTCAGTTCTGAAAAAAATTCAATATTAGTACCATTTTCTTTCCGAAAACTCAAATAAATTTCGATTCAGGGGGAGGAGGGGGTGTGGTAACTCCTGGAAAAGGAATTAATATCCGCTAGCGGGGCAAGACAAAAACACAGTTTTGGACGATTTGTTTATTTATTCAAATTCATTTCATTTGTGAAAAAAAAACATATTTTTTTTCTTTGTGATCACATATAAGAACGTACACTTTCTACGCTCCCTGGATCCACCAATGTTTAGTGTTTCTTCATTAAAATTGAGCTTCAATAGATATTCGAACTATCGAATTAATGAAAGATCGGAAGTAAAGTAGTTTGTACGAAAACTTTAAAAGTATAAATATCCATTTTTGTCACAATGAGATAAACAACCTGTAAAATGTAATTTATTTGTATGATATAAAAAAAACCCCAAAATTTACCTTCATTAGATTATTTGATTCTTGCTGCTGGTATCCGACATTCTTATTTGTTTACCGATGGCATAATGAAATTACCTACGCAAAAGATAATACACAGGGCGCAAAACTTTATTGCGCGAGTTTTCATCTCATTGGATAAAACGGTTACGTGATCAATTTCTAACATTAGTTCCAGCTATTACAAATGATATATACCACGTGTACCGCCTAACTCATTTACATATTTGAACGAACTCACCCTTCTGATTTGTTTGTTTAAATATGTTAACTCGTAAGAACCATAGTGTATAAAGTACATTCCATCCACACCCTCGAATCAGTTGCCGGGTGCTTCTGAGAGGTCCGCGTTTGAACAATATAAATAGCTGCGTCAAACTCAATATTTCCCGCCAAACAGAAAAAGAAGAACAAAGTAGTGGTTGTTTGTAAATTCAATGTATTTTCAATTCAAAGATTACTGTTTGATATAGACACTTGGTAAAGGATTTTTTATTTGTGATTCTATCAGATTTTCAATTCTTATGGATGTATCTAAAGCAGTCGGGTAAAAAAGAACAACAAGGTAAGTTTAATTTCTTTATTTTATGCCTGTTATATGTGTTTTTAGGTGTATTTTATTGTTTTTATTTCAGCCCGTCTATTTGTTTTGCAGTCAGTTATGCTATGGCTTATTTTGTCGTATTTATTTACAAACTTAGAATGCCAATTTTGTACCTGTCATTGACATTGTTTTCTTCAATTCTACATTTAAAAAAGAATTTGCTTGATTTTAACTAAAATTAAATATTCATGTTTTTTTTCTCTTGGCTGAATATAACCACATTGTCAGATTTGGGATCCGACCATTCTATGTCAATTAAATGTGATATTTCAATGTTTTAATATCGTAAACCACATTTGTTCAATATCATGAACCTAAATTATGTCAAAATTTGATCCCAATCCGAATTCAGACAGTATCAGCCATAAATATCGTGTCCAAAATTAAACCCACTGTTCAGGGTTCGACCTATGCGGTAGTATAAAGCTGCCCTCAGCGAAGCATTTAATAAAGAAATATTATTATTATAAATATTGACGACAATCTTCTTTGTCGAAAATGATCACTATTTTTATGGCCTCGCAACAAAGTTGTCGGGGCCATATAGTTTTACCCTTGTCCGAAATCCGTCATTCCGTCATTCCGCAACAAACCATTTTACGGTGTTTTTTTTTCTAAACGCCTTCAGATATTGGACTGATTTTTCGTATGTGAGTTAACCATTATGAGTTACAGATCAAGTTTGAGTTTCGTTCCGCTCCACTAATTTTTGCCGAAATTATGGGCTTTGGACTTCGATAAATTGTGGAAAATCACAGTTATACGGGTTTTTTTTCTAAACGCCTTCAGATATTGGACTGATTTTTTGTATGTGAGTTAACCATGATGAGTTACAGATCAAGTTTGAGTTTCGTTCCGCTCCCCTTTTTTTTTGCCGAAATTACGGGCTTTGGACTTCAATAAATTGTTGAAAACTACAGTTATACGGACTTTTTTTCTAAACGCCTTCAGATATTGGACTGATTTTTGGTATGTGAGTTAACCATGATGAGTTACAGATCAAGTTACAGTTTCGTTCCGCTTCACTAATTTTTGCCAAATTACGGGCTTTGGACTTCGATAAATTGTTGAAAATTAGTTATACGGACTTTTTTTCTAAACGCCTTCAGATATTGGACTGATTTTTGGTATGTACGTTAACCATGATGAGTTACAGATCAAGTTTGAGTTTCGTTCCGCTCCACCAATTTTTGCCGAAATTCCGGGCTTTGGACTTCGATAAATTGTTGAAAATTACAGTTATACAGACTTTTTTTTCTAAACGCCTTCAGATATTGGACTTATTTTTGGTGTGTAAGTTAACCATGATGAGTTACAGATCAAGTTTGAGTTTCGTTCCGCTTCACTAATTTTTGACCAAATTACGGGCTTTGGACTTCGATAAATTGTTGAAAATTACAGTTATACGGGGTTTTTTCTAAACGCCTTCAGATATTGGACTGATTTTTGTTATGTGAGTTAACCATGATGAGTTGCAGATCAAGTTTGAGTTTCGTTCCGCTCCACTAATTTTTGCCGAAATTACGGGCTATGGACTTTGATAAATTGTTGAAAATATCTGTTACATTTGTATATGGAGTTTTTTAAGCCATTAGGTTTTGAGCAGATTTATTATATGTGAGACTACCTTCTGGTTTGTGTCCACATGCGGTGTTGAAATTGCAGATTTTTCAAATATTTTAGACGGGGCCATTCGTGTCATTTTGACACATCTAGTTTCCCATGTGTTAGCCCTATCTGACTTGTTTTATATCTGTTTTCTTTTTTTTTTCTTTTTTTACCATAACTTTTCCATATATGTAAATCATGACAGAAAACTGTTATAAGAAGCAACATTATAATAGACATTTGCGGAAACTGTCATACATCTACGATCAAGATTACAATTACACTCACAGGTAACATTGAAATCTGGGGCTTTCTCGAAGTGTAAAAATAAACCGTCGATCCAAAACACTGTAACGATAGTGATGTTTTTCTGTAGTTGAACAACGAGTTTATGCACGGCCGTCAATCGGCTAGCCGAGAGATTGGATGGTTAATCTGCGTTGAGTCTGAGGCTATTTGGGCGGTTAGTCTGTTAATCGGGTCGGTTATACGTCTGTTAAGAGTAAAAGCACAATTTAATGTTTAACTCTGTTAAATATACAGATTTTAAACATACTATAAGAACCAAATTAAAAAAAAGGGCTGCCTAAATGATATCCATTGTAGAACATTTTCCTGTAAAAACATTTCATAGTCTGCGCAGTTTTCAGCAAAACTCAGTAAAAGGCGTCGCGCAAATATATGGTATTTATGCTTATACGCATAGCAATATGTTTGGATAAAGGCAAAAAAAAAACAACATTTTTTTATAACATTTAAAAGACACAAAATAGTACTTTGGTTCTAAAAAAATAATTGACATTAGTAAATATATTACGTGAGTAAATACCACTTTTAAATGAATATTAGGGGAATAAAGTCTGTTTATGGGTTGGACAATTTAAATTGTGTCAATTAAAATATTTAGCCACGACAACAGTTTTGCTACTTTTATATTTTCCCATTCAAAAAGTTAAGAATGAGATTTTCGAGTAGAAAAAATGACAATACGGGGCAACAGTATCCTACAAGGATTTTATATTTTGACTTTCTATGCATTTTCGCCTCTTGAATATGCATGAATTTATTATTAACTTTTTCATTCAGCCTTATATTTTGAATCTTTTAAAAGTCTGCAACATCTATAAATCTGTCAAGTGTTGCAATGCAGCTGGTTAAATTCCAAGAGTTTTCCAATATGCATTGTCCTTTCTACCTAGTCATCGTTGTCATTTTCTGCCAAAGGAAGTGTCTTTACCAAGTAAGGAATATGACCCGTGTTTTCTATTCGTTTGTAAGACGTGGTTCTAAACAAGAAGTTGACATTAGTAAGTTTTTAGCTCACCGGGGCCCAAAGGGCCTCATGTGAGCTTATGCCAGCACTTGGCGTCCGTCGTCTTCCGTCGTCTGTCGTCGTCGTCGTCTGTCGTCGTAAACTGTTTAAAAAATCTTCTCCTCTGAAACTACTGGTCCAAATACCTTCAAACTTTAACTAAATGTTTCTTTGGGTATTTACTTTATAAATTGTATCCGAAGTTTTGATCCATTGATAAACATGGCCACCATGGCTAAAAATAGAACATGGCGGTCAAATGAAGTTTTTGGCTTATATCTCAAAAACTAAAGCTTTAGAGCAAATCCAAAATGAGGTAAAATTGTTCAATTGGTCAAGATCTATCAGCCCTGAAATTTTCAGACGAATCGAATAACCCATTGTTGGGTTGCTGCCACTAAATTGTTAGTTTTAAGAAAATTTTGCATTTTTTTGTTATTATCTTGAATATTATTATAGATAGATATAAACTGTAAACAACAATAATGTTCAGCAAAGTAAGATCTACAAAAAAGTTTATATGACCAAATTTGTTAATTGACCCCTTAATGAGTTATTGCCCTTTAAAGACAATTTTACACAATTTGTTAATCAAGTTTGCTAACATTTAAAAATCTTCTCCTCTGAAATACTGGTGAGCGATTCAGGCTCTTGGGAGCCTCTTGTTTTAAATCAATATTTGTGTATGGTGCTGATTAACAGTCAAGATTTTTAAAAAAATGTCACCAAATACTAGTACTGTGAATTCATTAATATTCGTTGGATACCAATTTCCGAGGATTTCGTGGATGTCAGTTAACCAAAAGTTTAAATGTTCAACAAAGTGTATATTGTCAATTGGCATGTATGTAGACTTTGGAAAAACCCAGCAATTAAATATCCACAAAAGTGTCAGTTTTCCTCTTTTCACGAAAATTGGTTTCCACGAAAATAAATGAACCCACAGTAAAGATTTTCGTGTAGATTTTTCCATATTTATATTAATATGGTTAACAACCTATTTGCTTTGTTCACACGGAAACGAATGCATCGAATGCCAGTGTATATTTACATTATGATATAGGTAAATGTCCTCTTGAAGCAAACAAATTTGGGTATATATATATATATATATATATATATATATATATATATATATATATATATTTAAGCACCTAATGTTTGTGGTTCACCATCTTTGCCGCAAGTTTATTGTTTTCTGTTTGGTATTGATTTAATATAAAGGTCCATTTTGTTACATCTTTGTGATCAATTTTCTTGGCAATCGTTAATGGCAGTCATCAGGGTTTAAGAATATGAGTAGCTCGACATCGTTTTGTTAAATTATACTTTTTCACTCTTCAGGTCTTTTTTGTAAAATGTTGTTTGTGCTGTATTTAGACCCTTGTACAACGAAATTTGTTTTACATGGACACGTATAAAAATTGCGGTTTATATCCAATGCAATCATAGGTTTGAACGTTGTTTTTAATTTAGACTTGTATATATATTATTAAAAAAAATGCATCCACTGACCTCGCCTTCAAACCAAGATGGCCAACATGGCTAAAAATAGAACAAAAGAAAAGGGTGGGGGTAAAAGGCAAGTTATGCATATTATTTTAAAAACCGTATAGATAGATAATCTGATTATGATATATATGTTCAAAATGTTGAGGTCTACAAATTGTTCTTTAGCAGCAAAACTGTTCAACGACTTCTTGTAGAAACTTTTCCCCTTAATTGATGCATTATTTACCTCACCGACCCAAAAAGGCCAAGTAATCGTTTCTAATCACTTAGCGTCCGTCGTAGTGGTCGTCTGTCGTGGTCGTCGTTCGTTAACTTATACAAAAATATGTGTGCCTTACAATTTTCAGACGCATCGGACAACCGGTTGTTGATTTGCTGCCCCTAAATTGGTGATTATAAGGACATTTTGCAGTGTTTGGATATTATTTTGAATATTATAATGAGATAGAGATAAACTGTAAGCAGCAAAATTGTTAAGCAAAGTTATATCTACAAATATGTCAGCCTGACCAAAACGGTCTATTGACTC